TCAGGGTGCAGTATAGCACCGATGAAACACACAACTTTCCTCTAGTTCTTTAATGCTCCACCCCCACCCCCACCCCACTACCATGACCCCAATTCTATCTTTCAAATCTGGCTAGACTAGAACATGTGCACTGGTGCAGATAAGCGCTCGCAACACGGAATCCAGAACAGATAAACCCCTCGGGACCAATAAGGGGAGCAGTGATACTAGAGGGAACCTATCACAATGACCAGCATATGGCCCCCATTCCAGGGGGATGGACAGCAGAAAAGTGGGTGAAACGAGACAGCAGTTGGTGTAAGATGTGTGGGGAAAAAAAAGAATTTATGAATTATCAAGGGGGCATGGGGGCAAAATGAGAGGCTGATGCCAGGGGCTCTAGTAGAAAGAAAATGTTCTGAAAAAGATGATGACAGCATATGTGCAGATGTGTTTGACAAAATGAATTATATATATATATATATGGATTGTGATAAGAGCTGTAGGAGCCCCCAATAAAATAAAATTAAAATTAATAAAGCAAAAACATTTTGTTGACACATAATCCACAGATCATACAATTCAGTGGTTCATTCATATCAAGAGGAGTTATACAATCACCACTACAATCAATTTTAGGACATTTTCGTCTTTTCGTGGGCAGTTATTAGCATCCCATTTTCCTTGAACCTCCTCTGCCATCCTTCCCAAGAAACTGTCAATCAAGGCATTAAGTTACTATCGCTATAGATTCACCTGTCCTGGATTTCAAATGCACAGAAACATACCCCCCCCCCCAAGAGGCCCAAATCAATGATAACAAAGGAAATTTTCAATTGAGAAAAAAGGAGTTCCACAGGAAAAATCTGTGTGCGCTCATCAAATTCAGCCTCAATTGGCTGCGAATTTTATGTGATTATTGTATTTAAAATAATAAAGCTCGATGAAGTTTGAGCATAAGGTTTATTGTGAGTCGTGCTTTCACATGTACAGAAGGGGGACCGTTTCGACCCCAGGAAAGCACACGGCTTGAAGAGGCGGGCACACTGGTACAAGGAGTGCACCGGAACAGAAAGGAGATACGGAAGATCCCGAGAGGCTAACTCGCTCAGAGACTGAACTTCACAGTGTGATGGTGGTGTGATGGGCTACTAGCCCACAAGGGCAGCAGTTTGAACCCAGAGGACTTGGGTTATGTTTAGATGGTCTCCAACCCTCTACCCAGCCATGTCTTTTGAAATGAAAATATAGAAATCTGGCTTCCAACAGGGAAGAAAGGATTTGCAACTTTGGGTGAGAGAAAAGCCATTGGCAGATTAATTTTGATCAGGGATTTCTTTAAAGTGACTATTTGGTGTCCTGCATAAAAAAATTAAAAAAAAACCCAAATCAAAGCAAGATCTATTAACTTCTCCTTATAAAATTGTACTTTTTAATGTTATCTTATTCTATTGGTTGTTGTGTGTGTTTTGTTATGAAGGATCTGAAGTTTCACTTTAGAGAGGGGACTGCTTTTAAATGCAGATATTCCTTTAAATCGAGCAGTGTCTCAATTAATGTGGAAGGTAATTAGTGGAGGTGGAGGTTGGAAGCTATTGGGAGTGGGCTTAGAGCAGCAGTTCTCAACCTGTGGGTCGCAACCCCTTTGGGAGTTGAATGACCCTTTCACAGGGGTCGCCCGATTCATAACAATGCCAAAATGACAGTGATGAAGTAGCAACAAAAA